TGCTTTCTTTATTAATGTTTTCATGGTATATAATTTTCTATCCTTTTACTTACATCATTTATATTTGAAGTGAATTTTTTGTAGACGGCATATAGTTGGGTCATGTTTATCCAGTCTGCAATATCTGTATTTTAATTGGTGTAGTTAGATCACTTATATTTAATGTAATGATTGATATATTAGGGTTTAAGTCTGTCATTTTAATTTTTGCTGTTCTGTTTTTCATATCTCTACTTTCTTACTCTTCCCTATGGGTTACTTGAAGTTAATTTAGAATTCCATTTTGATTTCTCTATAGTGTTTTTGGATATATCTCTTTGTATAGTTTTTTCAGTGAATTTTCTAGGTTTTACATTATATATACATAACTTATCACAGTCTATTGGTGTTGACATTTTACCAGTGCAAGTGATGTGTAGAAACTTGACTTCTGTTATATCCCTTTACTCTCCTCCATTTCTAATTGTCTTAAATATTTTCCCAAAAAAAAGACATTGAGAACCACATTAAACAGTGTTATAGTTTTTTTTTTTTCAATTTGAATTGACATTCAATATTATTTTATATTAGTTTCAGGTGCACAGCATACTGGTTAGATGTTTATATAACATACAAAGTAATCTCCACCAACTTGGCAGTATATATAGTTATTATAATATTATTGACTATATTCCCTATGTTGTACTTCACATCCTCATGACTATTTTGTAACTATTAACTTGTGCTTCTTAATCCTTTCACCTTTTTCACCTCCCATCTGACAATCATCAATTTGTTCTCTGTATCCATGAGTCTGTTTCTGTTTTGTTTTATTTTGTTCTTCAGATCCTACATATTAAGTGAAATTGTATGGTATTTGTTTTTCTCTGTCTGACTTTTTTCACTTAGCATAATACCCTCTAGGTCCATTCATGTTGCCACAAATGGTAAGATTTCATTTTTTATGGCCAAGCAGTATTCCAATGTATATATGTACTTCTTCTTTATCCTATCATCTATGATGGGCACTTAGGTAGCTTTCATATCTCGGTTATTGTAAAAACAATGTTATAGTTTTTGCTTCAACTGTAAAACGTAATTTAGAAAACTCATGAGGAGGAAAGTCTATAGTATTTCTCTATATTTTTGTTCTTTCCATTGTTTTTTCTTTCTTCTTGATGTTCCAAGATTCCTTTTATCATTTCCTTTCTGTGTAGAGAATGATTTTTAGCCATTCTTTTAGGGTAGGTCTGCTAGTGAAAAATTACCCTAGTTTTCCTTTATCTGATAACATTTTGATTTCCCCTTCATCCCTGGAGGATAATTTTGGTTGATGTAGAATTCTAAGGTGACAGTTCTTTTCTTTCAGCCCTTGAAAATGTTGTGCTACTTCTTTCTGGACGCCATGGCTTCTGATGAGAGATTAGCTGTTATTCATATTATTTTCCTCCTATAGGTAAAATGTTTCTCTCTGGTTATTTTCAATAATTTTTCTGTTTTAGCTTTCAAAGGTTTGACCAGGCTATATCTTGGCATGGATTTCTTTGGCGGTTATATTGTTTATAATTCACTTAGCTTCTTGAATCTGTGGGTTCATGTTTGTTTTATTTTGTTACCAAATTTGGGGATGTTTCAGCCATTACTTCTTTGAATACATCTATAATCCCAATCCTCTCCTTCTGGGACAACAATGACACAAATATTAGATCTTCTGTTATAGTCCCTGTTCATTTTTTTAGTCTATTTTTTTTTTCTGTTATTCAGATTGGGTAATTTCTATTGTTCTGTCTCCAAGTCCACTGAGTATTTTCTCTGTTATCCCCAATTTGCTGTTTAACCCATCTATTGAGTACTTCATTTCAGTTATTGTATTTTTTAATTCTTAATTTCCATTTGTTCTTCTTTATATCTTATATATCTTTGCTAAGACTTTCTATTTTTAATATGTATCATGTATGTATAGAATTGTTTGTCAAGGCATTTTTCCCCCCACTGGCTTTATTGAAATATAATAGACAATTAGTTGCTCATGTTTACATTGTACAACTCAATGAGTTTTTTTCCGATTGTAGTTGGCATACGATAATATATTAGTTTCAGTTGTACGGCATAGTGATTAGAGATCTATATAACTCACAAAGTGGTCACCCCACTAAATCTAGTACCTCTCTTCCCCTTATATATTATTTACAACATTGTTGACTATTTTCCTTATGCTACACTTTATATCTCCATGTCTATTTTGTAACTATCCATTTGTACTTCTAACTCTCTCTGCCCTTTTTCATTGTCCCTCCAACCTCCCTCCCATCTAATAGCCCTCAAAATATTGTCTTTATCTATGAGTTTGTTTCCACTTGTTTTTGTTGTTATTTTGTTCTTTAGATTCCACATGTACGTGAAATCATAGTATTTGTCTTTCTCTACCTGACTTACTTCATTCAGCGCAATACCCTCTAGATCCAGCAAGGCATTATCTTTTTCCATCCCCTTCTTCTTAGTCTGTGTGTTTCTTTTAATCTGAAGTGAGTCTCTTGTAGGCAGAATATGTAGGGGTCTTGTTTTCTTATCCATTCAGCCACCCTATCTTTTGGTTGGAGCATTTAATTCTTTTCCATTTGAGGCACATGTTGATAGGAATGTAGTTATTACCATTCTTTATTCATGTTTTTGATACATGCTTTTTCTTCTTAAAGAAGTCCCTCCAACATTTCCTGTAATACCACATGATTTCACTCTGAATGCTTAATGACTAAAGAACTAAGGCTTACGTTAATATATTTCCCTTATCAACATCCATCCTGGTGAATTATACATTTTCTCAAAGACTGCTCCATAGCCAACTATAATGTGCTTACACAGACATTTTTGCTTTGCATCAAGCTTTGAGAGATCTGTCAAAGCCAGAATTATACTTACCTTCCACAGGCAGCCGTCGCCGTCCGGCCAGGCGCTCCATTTTCCGCTGTGTCTCTGCCAGACTGAAAAGGACCCCGTATACATACTGACGAGCTGACCGGAACAGGAGAGCAGCTGGAGGCAGCTCCATGTTACACTCATCCTCAATACATACAGGGATCTTAATCTCACCCTAATAAGAAAATGGTCCAGGGGAAAGGAGAAAATTAATTACCTCAAGGTTTAGAATTGAGCAGAGAAGAACCAGTAATGAACTAGAGCCTCTGCAGCCTAGCTGTTATATTTTCTACTTGTATTTAGATGGAGTTTCAGACTAAAAAGAAGCTGTAACAAGCCCAGGTGACCACAGTCAGCTTAAAAGCTATGTTCCATTTTAAAAGTCTCGGCTATGACTGACTATAGCTGACAAAATGAGGAAAGTCTTTCTTAGACATTTTGCTGGGGGATGGATTTGTATGGTGAGATTGGTGGAGGGGATCAGCTCTGGAGAAGTAGAGGAAGAGGCAAAGAACAAAGCAAAAAGCCTCTTTTTAGATGTGTCCATTCCTAGACCAGAATCCATCAACTTGGTATATTGTCTTCTTCAAAATCTCACAATTACACTTTACCTGGGGCCTCATCTTCTGTACAGTCCCATTCCCTGATAGTCTTGCCTCACCTGAGAGCTTTAATACAATGAGGGGCCCCAGCACAACTGATTTCCTTTTATTTCCCTTCAGATATCAATGATCAGAATTTTCTCTGGTAACTTATAACTCCAGGAAGTATGAAGTACACTGTTAAGAACAGAAAGGTTGGTGGGTCCAGATGTGCTTTTTCACCTTAGTGAGGACGTGGTAGATATATGGGTACATAAGACCCCTTCGGTGTCTGTGTTCAGCAACCCGCAAGACTTCTGGAGCAACTGGAGGTAAGGGTGGAATGGTGATGTCCATGTGGTTCCTTGTAGACATAGACAGCAGAGATGGGATGTGGGGCTCGCCATCACCCAGGCTGGCATCTGAAACTCCAGCATCAATAGGCGGTACCCAGGACCCTCTGTCACCATTTGGGTCCTCCCATACTGGCTGCTGCTGAAGTGTTTCTGTAATGTGACTAAAAATTTAGAAAGACAGTGTAGAAAAGAAAAAGGAGGTTGATAAAGATATTCCAACTCAAGATGTCTATTCTGATCCCAAGGAATCTTACAAACACTCTGGAAGTCAGGACACTGGGTTAGCAATGGACTTGATACCTATCCTCTCAGTGGCCATCACTGTCCTCTTGGCTTCTTTCATCTGGCATAAACCAAAGCGATCAAAAGTTGTGGGAACCATTCTGAATCCTTTGCACCTTGTAAGAGACCGTGTTTATAGTCTGCTTATATTCTAAGAAAATAATTACAATTAAAACCTCAAAGCAGCCCTGTTTCCCAGAAATAATCTGCTTGGAAGAACAATCTAAGAACAAAAGAGCTAGTACAAAATCCCACTGTTTTAATCCTCAGAACTCTGTCTTAGCTACTAAGAAATATAACTGTCTACTCAACTGTTGCAATACTTCAACTCTATACATTCTTTCATCTTTTAAAATTTAATCTACCCTCTCACAAATTAAGCAATGACAGCCATGATATGTAATACACCCATACCAATGCTTCCCTAACCAGTTGCTATGCTGCTTTTTACCTCAGTGGCCTGAGTAGCCAAAAATTACCACCTTAACAAGGTCAAAATGAACATGAAGTAGCCAAGCATATAGAGAGTTTTCCTACTTTGCTTAAAAGCAAAGAGCCAGAAAAAAGCTGGAAACATATACTTCCCCACACCCCTGCCCAGGTTAGCAGCAAAAGAATACAGATGCTTCAGAAGTCTGTTGCCTTGGGTGCCTATACAGATACTTACTGAGAGCTGGCTCCATTTGGCTCATCACCATCAGAGGAAGAAGAGTGGGAAGAGTCTGGTCCCAGAGGAGATGAGGCTTTGGAAGTCAGGTAATTGGGAAACTGGGATGTAGAGGAGTCATAAGAGACAGCCCAATTGGCAAAGGGGCTATCCTGTAGCATGGGATCCTCAGAAAAAGCATGGGAATCTCCCAAAGCATGAGAGGAGAAGAGAAGAGAGGAGTTGGGTCCCATTGGGAATGATGGTGGATATTTCATTTTCTGGGGCACGTGGTGAGAAAACTAAAGGATAAAACAGACAGAAAAGCTATTTAACATTTTACCAGGCTCCAAGATGGTTCCCTGAAAAGTTGTGATATATAGATGCTGCCAGTAGCAGGGATTATTGGGGATATAAAGAACCTACTGAGAATAACAAGAAATAATTCTAACAGTGGTAAATGGACAGAACCCTCTAGAGGCAGGACAATGAACCAACTCATGTCTCCTTCATTAGCTAATATAACTTCACAATGCCCTAATGGTTATTGATTTAGATATTTTCTTTACATAGTCTGCCATCCTCAGATTGAGAACATTACATAGGTATATACAGCCTTGACATTCTGATAACACTGAATCACCCTAACTCCTTAATTCAGATGATAAAAATCAGGAAGCAACCCGTGTCTAATGTTAACAAATGGTCTCAGGACTCGTAAAATATACTTACCATTTGCTTTCCAGCAGAGATAGTGCCCATTTGATTTCGTGGAAGGGGAGGATTTCCAAGTCGATTATTACGAAAACCTGAAGCAAAGAGAAAAGGCTATAATTAAGTCAATTCTAATAATTCTATCATGTTACATTCTGGAACCCCATATCACCTAAAAAGTTATTTATAATAACTCATTTATAAAAACAATTTATTGAACAGCTACTATGTGCCGTGCCAGGAATCTTAAAAACCTTATAAAGAGGGTATCATGAGCCATATTTCATACAAATGTGATTTGCTAATATTACACAGCTAATAAATAGCAGAGGTGGGATTCAAACTCAGGCCTGACCCCACAGATAGGGCTGTTTTACATATACCATGCCACAGTGGAGGTGAGCACCAAAAGACACCCAAGCTAAGAAAAAGGCATAGGACCCCATCTAAACATTTGAGAAATCAGGGCCCTGTCTCATGTTACCTCTCTTATTACATGGAAATCAAAAGGAGGCTGTCTACCAAACAGGAATGACTTCTAAGAGGGTGTAATACAAACAAGTGATTCCATTCTGGCCCAGGAGTTCCTGAGGGAGTAACTCAGTTTCTCCTATGGACAGATCAGCTCACCATCAGATGGAAGCCTTACCTAGAAAGGAGGAGGGACCCACTGGCAGCGAAGAGAGTTTGTTTGTGACTGAATAGTATTCAACAGCTTTCTTGAATCGCTCTATTTTATCTTCTGTCCTGGACTGGATGTTGGAACATCAGATGTTCAGAAGAAAGAACATAAGAGTACCTTTTTCATGTAATTTATAATTTGAGAGTCAAAACAGTAGCAGAAATCGAATATTTAAAGAAATATGAGAGAGCAATTTTCATGTTGTAGAAAAGATTATATAGGGAGAAAACATTATAGTACATAAAATCTGCAAAATTTTTAAAAATTAAGTTTAAAAATAAATAAAAGTTTACTTACATTTTGTACTATTCTAAAGTGGTCACATGATCATTAGAAAAAATACATAAGGATGGGGGAAATTCATAGTACCACCAGCAAAGATATTTTAGTGTATTTCCTTCCAGTATTTTTTATATTAACTTTTTATTAACTGAAGTATAGCTGGACTATTTTTATACACACATTTTTCTGTAGTTGATACCTTAACTACGTATAATTTTGTATCTTGCTTTTATTATGTTACAAAATAATTTTGAATGGCTTGTATTTTTTCATTATAAATATATTATAAATTATGTAATTACTTTCATAATACCTGACATTTATGTTATTTCTCACATTTGGCTATTATAAGCTATACAGCAAAGAACATATATGTACATATAAGTTTTTTCTGGATTTCAGATTATGTCCTTAAGAAAATGTCCTAAAAGTGAAATTATTGGTTCAAAAGGTATGAACATTAAAATCAAAAGCACTTAAACTCATATAAAAACCACAATGTGACATCACTATATATCCACTAGAATGTCTAAAAGTAAAGATGATAAATATCAAGGACTGTCAATGATATGGAGTAACTGGAATTCCAGGACATTACTGATGGAAATGTATATTGGTATAGTTTGGAAAATACTTTGGCAGTTTCTTATAAAGTTAAACATATATTTAACATATGGCATGGCAATCCTACACCTAAGTATTTACCCAGGAGAAATGAGTCTATTTATCCACCAAAAGATATGAACAAGAATGCTAACAAGAGCTTTATTCTTAATAGCCCCAAACTGGAAATAACTCAAATGCATATTAACAGAAAAATGGATAAATTGTGGTATGTTCATATAACAGAATACTATTCAACAATAAAAAAGAACAAAGTACAGATACACGCAACACTATCTCAAAGATGTACTGAGTGAGAGAAGATACAAAAGAGCACATATCAAGTTCAAGTAGAAGCTAAACTAATCTATGGCAATAGAAGTAAAAATACTGTTTACCTCTGTGGGGTTAGGGCTGACTTAAAAGGGGCTTTGCCTTATTGAGCCTTTTCTACTGTTATTTGAAAATCCTCTTGAATATAACTATATGATCTTCATAACATTTCATCAAGTAGAATATAATGTTAAAGTAATTTCTAATTTCTCATTATAAATAATGTTCTGATAAGCACATTTTTACATAAGTTTCTTGGGTTATTTCATAGGGAAAATTCTTAGAAGTGAAATTACTAGGTCAAAGGATGTGGTCATTTTCATAGACTCCTGGCACATGATACTAAATCTCTTCTCAAAGTAAATGTCTTAAGTTAAACTCTCATCATCAATGCATGAGAGAGTGCCCAATTTACTATGTAGGCCCAGTGTTGACTATTTTCTACAAAAAAAAATCATCTAACCATAATAAACATTTATTACTTATAGAAAAATTAAAATACATAATTGAAAATGAAAAATTTTAAATATTTATAATCTTATTTCTCACAGTTTGTAATTGTTAACACCCCAGGGTCTAGATAGCATTCCAGATCTCTATTTGTATGCAGTGAGGCACACAAACACAGAAATGAAGATCTCCAGGTCCAACAAAATCACTCTGCTTTTTAAAAAATTGGACTTAAAATAATTATTTGAGTCTATGGCCATGCCACCCTGAACAAGTCCTATTCCATCTGATCTTGGAAGCTAAGCAGGGTCGGGCCTGGTTAGTACTTGGATGGGAGACCATTTAGGAAGATGAGGTGATGTAGGCGTAAAAAAATAAAAAATAAGGGATTGTAACCTGACAAGGTCCTTGCAATCTGTGAGGTCAACCAAGGATTGCCTCACCTTAAAAAAAAAAATCATAATAATAAAATAATTGTTTGAAAAAAAGGGTTCCACGTCTAAAGAATGTCTGCAAATTACTGACTTACAGAATATCTACATGGTTGAATTGTATCAAGGTTCCATAATTTATGTATTGTTATTTCCTGATTATATTTTATAATATATGTAATAACTGAAAATGAACTCCTAAAAGATACAAGCTACTTACAATGATCCTTATTATCTCTACTTTGGCACCCAATTCCCTCTCCAAAAGTGACCACTGTTACCAGTTTGGTATATGTCTTACAACTTTTGCTGTGCTTATGTACACATATGTATATACATCAATATGGTTTTGTTTTTTTCACATAAGTGGAATACTATAACCACGTTGTTTTTTTAACCTGTTTTCTGTAGTTAATATGCCTTGTAAACTATTCAATATCAATAAGTATGATGCAATCCTTTGAAATACTGAATTATGTATGCTTTCTTCAATGTACCACTCTGTTCTGTGCCCTAACAGGCAAACATTTACTCTTTCTTCCAAGGGTACCTCCTTCTATGAAACCTTTCCTTCTTTGAAATCGTTATTGTGTTTTTTCTTTGCTGTACTTATTTGCTTCTGTCTTCCCATTTAACCTCAAGTTCTGTGAGGACAAAAAATGGTTTATTCACATTTATATCTTAGTGTCTAGCTTGGGGCCTGATCTATAGAAGTTTATGCAGTATTTGATATATGACAGTATTTAGAAAAGTCCTACACTTTTCTTGATCCACAGAGGCCACAGTTAGCAGAGCAAAACCCCACACTTTGACAATATTACCTAGCAGTTTTAGAATGTCTGTTTAGAAGAACTCTGCTCACAACTGAACTGTCAAAAATGATGTGTATGAAATTATACAGCAACAATGACGAATGGTTTAAGACATAAACAGTTAAGTGAAAAAAGGAGATTAAAAATTTTTACACTGAGATAAATACTACATCAAAACACACATATAAAGGAGACAAAGAAATAGTATAAACAATTTAGGGTAGAATTAGGAGCAAAGTCTCTGTATTTAATTTTTTCTTCTTTTTTTCAATAAAAAAAGGATCCTTGTTATTAAGAATAGTCATTATCCAAGTTCCAAAATTCATGAAGCAACGAAGTGAAGCAAAATCAGTAACACTGAAAATATTCAACAGAGCACTTATAAAATTTGTCCTTCATCTACATACAATAGAATATTATTGTCTTAAAAAGAAAGGAAATTCTGACACATGCTACAGCATGGATGAATATTTAGGACATTATACACTAAATGAAATAAGCCAGTCACAAAAAGACAAATACTGTATGATTCCATGAGGTAACTGAAGTCATCAAAATTATAGAGATAGAAAGTGGAATGGTGGTAGCCAGGGGCTGTGGGAGAGGGGAAATGAAGTTAACATTTAATGGGCATAGAGTTTCAGTTTTACAAGATGAAAAAAATTATGGAGATGAAAGATGGTGGTGGTTGTACAACATTATGATATATTTAATACTACTGAACTGTACACTTAAACTGGTTACGATGGTAAATTTTGTTATGTGTATTTTACCACAATAAAAAAAAATTAGATACATCTTTGGAAACATGGCAAAGTGTGAGACGTCCCCAGATCTCTCCCCTTGAAACAACAATAAGTTGAAGCACTAAAACTCAAGAAAAAAAACACCCAAATTGCACACCATCACGTCTAAGCATGAGATCTGCGTATAAGAAATACCACAGGTCAGAACCCTGGGTGTCGGGTGGTGGACTGGGACAAATAAAGAAGTTGCCTCTCGCAGCCGCTGGAGCTCCCTGCAGGAGAAGGGGGAAGGGTAAACGTGCAGCAACTTCCCTGAACAGTCCTGCCTGGGAAAGTTGTGAGCTCCCTGTAGCCAGCTGACGGCAGGGCCCAGTCATCAGGGCAGAAAGCAGAGAAGAGGCTGGCAGAGAAACAACAGCTGATTTTTACCGACTGCAGTTGCAAAATTGAGACTGAGCCGCAGCTCCCAACACCCAACCCAAAGGACCCCTCTCCCCATACCCTCTGAGACCAAGCACTGCGGAGCCTCAGGGGAATCTGAGAAAACACTGCCAAAACTGTTGCTAATACTGACAGGGACTGAAACTGAGGGTAGCGAGCATGATTAAATATCTATCAGAAAATAAAAAGGCATTTTTAAAGCTTTATATAAAGCAGGGATACAAGAGGCGTAGACGCCACCTACTGGAAACCAAAAGAATAGCACCTCCCTTGCAGCGGGCAAAAGACAGACCTTTATATAATAAATCTTCTCTCTGGAAAAAAAGCACAATAAATTTCCATTAATGCCCAGGTGGAGAAATAGTCCATGAAACACCATGAACAACCAAGGTGACAAGGCATCTCAGAAAGAAAGAAAAAAATTTCCAGAAAATACGCTTACAGACATAGAAATATGCCACTTAAATGACAGAGAATTTAGGATGGTACTTCTGAAAAAACTGAGTGAGTTCCAAAATTAGTCATATGAAAATTTCAGGAATTGAAAAAAACAACTAGATGAGCAGAGAAAGGAGAACAAGACCCTCAAAAAGAACAGAATAGATCTTCTGGAGATAAACACACACACACACACACACACACACTGCAAGAGTTGAAAAATGAAATAGCAAGCTTGGGAAATAGAGTCA